CGCCTGCTCCCGCGCATGGGTACTGAATTCGGTTGCAAAATTTGTATACTGTGTGCAGACTGTTGCTACCATAGGCCTCGTGCCAGTGTTAAGAGCTAAGCGAAGTGTTTGGAACATCGTACTTGACAGGCCCTTTTGGAGTAGTGCCAGTGTGGCAGCTTCGCGTGATGCGATGTTTTCATAGTTTGTGTTACTCTGAAGGCTTGTTGCAATCATCGGCACAACGTGTGGGGAGTGCAGTTCTCTGGCTCGAGTTCCGAGCTTTTCGAGCTTGGTGTGTAGGGGTGACGGTTCGCTGTTCATTCAAAGGTAGTCGGCTGTCCCGCATGTTTCCTCGCACGGACATCCTCGTGTGCCAAGCAGACTCCTGCCGCAGGGCTGGATCTGAAGCAGTGCTCTGCGAGATTGAGGAGTTGGCACGTTGGGAAACTTCATGATTTTCAGTTCATGGTTCCGATCGACTATAGAGGTACCTATTCATAAATATGCTTCCCCGAAACGAAAACCCAGTATTGAGGAGTTGGCAAAGCGCACCCCTAAACCCTAAAAAACCCTCAACCTTACAGCTAAACCCTAAACCCTAAACCTTTGAGGAGCTGGCAAAGGGCATCCAAAACTGCAGAGTAAGTGCAGCAAATTGCCTGGGGGCATGTGATTCAGCTCCAAGCGCGGTGGTGTGGCGAAATGGTCGAGACTTCGTAGCTGACTAGGGTTCAGGTTTAGGGTTTAGATTTGGGGAAATGGTAGAGAGTTAGTGGGGAAGCATTTAGCCTTTTTGGGTTTACATAACGGGATCTACGAGGGTTCTAATCAGGGTTCTTACTAGTAGTACAGTAGAGTAGGTAAACCTTGAACCTTGTAGGTTTTATATAATCCTACCATAATTGAAAGGTTAACCTTTTTTTGGGCTAGGGTTATAGGGTATTCCGCCCCTAAGGAGAGCAGCTATTCACGCGCATTCTGGATGTTCAGAAGAGCGTGAGGATTGTTGAAACTGCGAAGGGGGCGAAACTGAATTTAGATGATGCCGACATGTTTCAGCGCTTGGCTGTTGCCAGGCAGACACGAATTCGCCAGCAAGCCTGCCTGGAAAGCAAGTGGAATGTGGCATTGGCTGGAATGAGTGATCAGATCAGCATCGCTCCCGAGAGGCGACGATTCAAAATGCAGAAGGAATTTGCTGAATTGCTTTATAAAGCTGGTCTTTGGGAAGAAGCTCTGGAACAGTTTCTTCGAGTTCAGGAGGCGGCGCCAAGCAACATCGAAGCAATGATGGCACTTGCTCAGATCTTCAGCAAGCTTGGCCGAACTGACGGACTCGTCCATCTCGAGAATCAGGTGAAGCGGATTTGTTGTGATCCGGAGGACTTTCGCTTAGAGCTCGAACTATCCTCTCGCCTTGGTAGCTGGGCCGTATAGCAACTTCGATCCTTCTTGACGCGTGTAGCAAGTAATAGCAATTCCTTAAGGTTAAGGTTCCCTTGAAATTTGACACCCCACTAAGGCCCTATGATGATAAATATCAGCACTATTATCGCTATTATATATATATACATATAAATAAGATAGATAGATATATATATATATATACATATATACATACACATATTTTTTCCATAATCTTGGTATATTAGTATCCCAAGACCGCCAAGGCAAGTTCAAGACTGAGGCACAAGCTGTTTCGACCGATGCCCCCGTCGAGCGCCGAATCGAAAACTATGCCATCTGGTACCTGGAGTCTGTGACGGCCGTGTCGCAACATTCGGCTATTTACCATCTCCTCTCCAAGGACCTGAAACGAGGCACTCCGAATCCTAGAGGACGCGGAAGAAGTGTTTGGTCCAAGGTCTGGCACACCACTCTGTTGGCTGAAGTGGGGGCCAACGCTGAAGGTCCACTGCCCTGGTTGGAGCGGGACTACACACCCATCAGCACATCCCAAGAATGGGAGCGGGGTCACTGCGACCTTTTAGTCAAGGTTTACAAAGATGGCCAGGCAACGTCCTGGCTGAGCCGGCAGCCGCTGGGCACCCGGATCTGGCTCTCGCAGCCCTTGAGAACTTTGGGTGTTCCAAGCTTGGTGCCGCAGTCGGAGTTGAACGAAACCGGATTTCGCCCTGCTAGCTATCTGCTCCTCCTTGCAGGAACTGGCATTGTCGTGGCTGAGCAGGTCTTGCACCATACTGAGACGGGCAAGTGCTTCGGCGCCTCCCCGGCCATTACCTCGCCAATCAGGCCGCTACACCCTACACTGCCCTACACTCCAGTACCCTAAAATCCTAAACCCCTAGCCTAAACCTTAGATCCTAAACCCTAAACCCGAAATCCTAAAGCGCAAACCCAAACCCTATATTGCATTCGATCAGGCTGATACAGTCATGCCGGTCCGACGACGTCCTCATGACCTCCGAACTCCTTGGTTGGTGTGACTGGGCTGTTCAGTGGCATGCTGCTGTGCATTCTACTTTACTCTTTCTGGGTTTCTATTGGGAATCATTAGCCCCCAAAAGTATATTGTGCTTGTTCCTAGTGGGTTGAACAGCCTAGGTAACAAAGGAAAGCTACAGAGATGGAGTCTCCTCCTGGCGGAGGCGCAAGCTGGGATGACACCTTTTCCAGATGCCAAGGGCTCAGACTTGGCATCTTTGGTATCCTGTCCTCATGTAGCAGTTTTCCATTGCAGACTCTCTAGGGAACTCATCCAAAAGGAGCTTGGCCTTTGCCCAAAGCCCTGCCGGGTGGTTGTTTCGGGTCCTGCTGGCTTCAATGCGGCATGCAAGGGCATGCTGCAGGATGTAGGATGCGAAACAGGCGCTGTTACAATCTTGAGCGCCTAAACCCGAAACCCTTCAACTCTGAAACCTAGACCCTAACCCTAAGCTAGGGCAAATCGCCACATGCTTTCCCGAATCCCCCTGAACCTAAGTCGTTGCGTGTTTCGGCACACTGCCACGAAGAACTCAGAGCTGCAGCTGTAGAAGCTCAAGCTGTGTGTTCTTGGATTCGCAGCTATGCGAGTCTAGGATAGCCTGTATGGGACCTTCGAGGGGTGCTTTCCAGTTCTGCGTGCCAAGGGAAAGAAAGTGCACAGGCTTCCGCAAGCACGACTGAGCAAGATGGGTCACAAGACCCAGCCACACAGCAATCAAATAATGAACCATGGCTTTATGACTGCCCGGCTAGGAGTTGTACATCAGCTGTGCATGTAATCACAAGAGTAGTTCTGCTCTGGTATGTATGCCAGTATCAGCTGTGACTACAAGAACACCACTATCATTATTTCAGAGCCCGAAAGCCCATGTTAGTTGGAACGGCCATCGCTGTGGTGTTGGCAGTCTCATTGGGTTAGCCACGGCCACAGTAGGAGTCGCATTCGTCATAGTAGCCATCGTGGTGGAAACTTCATAACAGAATTCTTCCGTTAAAACCTGCATCGAAGCAAGAACAATAGGAGCAACCAGAGAAAATACGTATTGTGCAAGTATTACGAGCATATTGGTTAGAAGCGTTATCCGGTAGAAGGGTGGTGCGAGTGAACAGAGGACCTAGGGATGTCAGCCTCAAGCAGGTGACGAGTGATGGCAAGGCAATTTGCAGAACCATGAGAGTATAACTGCCACAATACCAGTCAGACGTTTCATCAATTGTGGATCTCGTCATCGATGTGACCCCCCCCCCCAAGTCTGTAGTTCATCAACTATAGACTCCTCATCCACATGAACCCCATTGTAACCCGTATCGTTATGAGCTTGGTCGATCATCGTTGTTGTGATCATCGTCAGCGTGATCATGAGGATCATCATCTTCTTCTTCATCACCATCATCATCATCATCCCCATCATCATCATCATTATCATCATCATCAGCATCATCATCCTCCTCCTCATCATAGTCATCGTCACAGTTGTCATCACCATCGTCTCTGTCGTTGCCATCATTGTCGTCGTGACGCGGCGAATGAGCACTCCAAACCATGCCTTTCTCAGGGCAGTTAATAAAGGGGCCTGAATAATTAGCGATATTATTCCTTGGGGTTCCTTATCGTAGTTGTACTATAGAGGAGCCCAAAACCCTATTCTAAAGATTAAGGCCCCTACATTAAGGCTTTCACGGGGAAGAGACATGCTGCCTGTGGAGTTCTCCGCCGTGTATTACAGGGTCTCGCCTTGCAGATGATGGAAAGATATGGGGCCTTGCGATGACATCTGCCATCTGGCATCCACAACCCACTTTGCAAAAAATCTAATGCGCGGTGGACAGGTTCTTGATGCTTTGTACTACTGAACCTTCCACAGGACTGTAGTATCAGATTCCACGACTCTTACAACCGGAGACCAGCGCAGGATTCTTGGTGCCTCTGTCCTCAAGGTGTTCGTCGAACGATTGCGGAGTTTCCGATAAGGAGCCACAGACACAGTTCCTGCTAGACCCAAAAATGCACTAAATGGGGCGTTTCCGAAAATAGGGGACCCTAATATAGTACACTAAAAAGTAGGACCCTTTTTATACGGACCCCAAAATCAGATACCCTAAACCCTAAACCCTAAACCCCGAAATAAGGTAACCCTAATTTTCGGAAAGTCCCAAATTACTCGCAGCTAAGAGCTGCCAGCAGCAAAGTCAACATGCCAGGGCTAGGCAGCACCTTGGCCTGTTGCCTTCACCTAAACCTCAAGCCCTAAACTCTAAACCCAAAGCCCAAAACCCAAAACCCTAAACCCAAAGCCCTAAACCCCAAACCTAAAACCCAAAACCCAAAGCCCCAAAGCCCTAAAGTGCTAAGCCGTAGACTCGAGACCCTAAGCCCTAAACTCTAAACGCGAAGCAAGGCGAGCCTCGCTGGGCTTCTGGGCCTCGGGGTCGGTGCCCGTGGTGCCCGCCGCGGCTCCAGAGCTGCCCGGGGGAAGGCTGAGGGGTAAGCTTTGGGTTTTGGGTTTAAGCTTTGGGTTTAGGGTTTAGGGTTTAGGGTCTATGGTTTAGGGGCTAGGGGTTTAGGG